AACCCAGGAGTTTATTAAAGCAAAGAAGTGGAATATTCTTGAATGGCCAAGTCAGTCACCTCATCTCAACCCAAATGAGCATTTCACTTGTTAAAGACTAAACCTCAGACAGAAAGGCCCACAAACAAACAGCAACTGAAAGCCAGCAGTGAAGGCCTGGCARAGCATTAAAAAGGAGGAAACACAGAGTCTGGTGATGTCCATGAGTTCAAGACTTCAGGCAGTCATTGTCAACAAACGATTTTCAACCAAGTACAACGAACATTGAACATTTTATTTACAATTATTTAATCTGTCCAATTACTTTTGAGCCTCAGAAATGAAGGGATTGTGWTTAAAAGATGCTTTAGTTCCTCACATTTGTATGCAATCATTTTTTCAACCCAATGAATTAAAGCTGAAAGTCTGAACTTCAACTGCATCTGAATTGTTTTGTTTAAAATTCATTGTGGTAATGTCTAGAACCAAAATTAGAAAAATATTGTCTCTGTCCAAATGTATATGGACCTAACTGTATGCTCTTGAAATCCACCTCTCTAATCTAAGGTGCTCGAAAGGATTAAAGTTGAGTTTATAGAAGAAAAAAAAAGAAGCAGAAAAGCTTTACTAACTGATGAATCACATCAACAATCAACAATCCTTGGTCACTGACAAGAAAAAGTACAAAAAAATAAAGAGATGATGAAAGCGAGAGATCATACTCCAGGATCAAACCTACCCTTATTGTCCACAGTAGCATTAGCCTGTGCGGCCCCCCGGAACGCCCGCTCCAGGTGATTGTGCTGTTTAGCCAGTTGTTCCAAAGCCTCCTCCAGCCGCACCCTCTGCTCCCGCTCTGCCTGCAAAGCTTTCTGCCATCGCTTGCTGTGAGCCTGTGCCAGGGCCAGGAAGTCTCTGCAGGCCTGMGAACAACACAGAAACTCTGAACGTAGAGCTGGAAAACAACGAGTCGGTCCAGGGGTGGGATGTCTTGGCCCTCAGGGGCCGCTGTCCTGCGTGTTTTACTGGTTTCTCTGCTCCAGCACACCTAATCTGATGAACGTGTGATCACCAAGCTTCTGCAGAACATGAAGAGGCAGCTCAATCACTAAATCCCATGTGTTGGAGGAGGGAAACAGGTAAAACGTGCAGGACGAGGCTGATTAACAAGCGAGGGGTACACCAATCGGGGGGAATACCTACGTTAATCATGGCGTTGGAGGTGATGCGGAACAGTGTGGCTCTTTCCGTCACCTGACGAATCTTGTCCCCGGCGTCCGCAGTCAGACGTAAGCTGTCCAGCTCAGACAAAGACCTGAAGAGTTTGAACAATAATTCATCAGCTTCCAACATACCAGCAGCAGATTTGTTCAGTTTGAAGATTGTGCTTGAAAATAAYGTGCTGAAATRTAATTAAGTCTCAGCGTTAACAAACTCTATAATCTTGGCCTCAAAAGAACGCTGACACTTAGGAGATTCCATCAGAAGTGGGGCTATCACAGCAGCTGCTCATGTTTCAGACATACTGAGGATGGAACAGATA